CACATACATATACGCGTATATATATATATATATATATATATATATATATAGTTTCTCTTTTTTATGTTTATATTTGTGTATCAATATCTACATGTTTATACAGGACTATCGTTTACTTCTCCGGGATCGCGATATGCATGGGAAGTATATGCTCGGTTGAGTAGAATCTCTTATTTCGTTATGTGGTTTCCTATAATAGTTACAAATTCAACCCATACGTTCGCTAGTCAGACGTCCTCTTGGTCCCGTAGTCCATTGTCCAAAATTTTCGGTTTTTGTACTTTAACTGGTTTAATGGGCCCCATTCTGATCATATGGTTAAAACAGCAACTAGAAAATCGCCGACTAGATCGCGATATTGCACGCAAAGACATGGTTAAAGCACCAGTGGAGAAATCACACGAGTTTGTGAGTAGATATAACGACGCACAGGCCCTTTTTGAGGAAGCGAAGGACAAGACTGAATCGGGAATGGTGGATTTGATGGCTACAGAACCGGACATGGTTGTCAGTCTCCTCAAGTAAGTATGTATGTGCAATAGGAGTTACCGTATGCATATACATTGTTGTCATAACAGTACCGATATCAGTTAAATATGAATTCGATTGATATGAGTCGATTATTACTTTGTTTGTCAACGATATATTATGCACCATGGTATAGCTTACAAATTAATTCGACCAGTGTTCCAAAATGTGCCAAATACCTGAGGGACTTTGCCAGTTATTCACTCAACAAGTTATTTCCAATTTGGTGATTGGACGACATATCTTTTTTAAATTCAGCTACTGCGAGGCTCAGCAAAAAATGTTTAAGGCTGCATTGGAGTATATGAACGAGACAGTCGATATACTCAAGCGGGAGGCCTATAGCAGTAAGGTAACTTACAATCGGTTCAACAATCGCCCAATTGTTGGTTTGACATTTGTCGTCGAGGATGTTGTATGACTTTCCAAAGGTTCACTGTATTCTTCTTCTATGCGTTTCGTGATCGCGCTTAAAATGTGCTTGATTATTATCCAATCGAATGCACACCTAACAACATCATTTCACACTGCGCAAATTTGTAGTTAGAAATACCAATGGTATTGCTTCCATCAGGGAACTAACTATATGCCGGTATTAAGTCTAGCTGGTTGTTAATTTGGTTGTTTTATTGATGTACGCTTTGATGGTCGAGAAAACATATTTCAAGAACAAATATGCGGATCGAAAACTCAGTATACTATCTTGCGTTCCGGCAGCTATTTTCTCGGACGATAGTCGACTATGCAAAGGATACAGGCTACAACATTCCACCGGTATGCATTCGTCTGCTTTCTACACCTTATAAACCCATGTGCTGTCTAGTGTCGTATACATGTCTGAAATCAAGTACCGCAAGCTATTTCTACGCTTTGTTTAATCGCAAGTTTAGTAATTTACAAGTCCGGAGATGAATCCACGGTTTATTCAAACCACAGATGAAGGGCAGTACACTTAGGGAGGTGAAAGAATTGTAAGCCGTTTGTTTCGAATTTTAATTGTACTTGATAGGCTGTTGATTGATAAGCATACCTCACATTTGTTCAGATTGTGGAACACTGTATCTGGGCGTTAGATGACCGGGTTTCCGAGGAGGGAATATTCCGGATGTCGGGCAATACAAATACGAGTATGTTATTTAGATATACATTTTCGTATATTCTAACATGGCACCAATTAGATATACATTTTCGTATATTCTAACATGGCACCAATACTCTGTATTAGAAGTATCGTATAGTGTACTAGTCCAAGATGCAATATGTGGTTATGTCTGTATACATAAATACTTGCAGCTTTGTTGTATGCAATCAGAATGATAAGAATTTACAAAGTATAGATTGTAGAACTACCGTGTAGCTGAATAAGAACAAATGATGTGCGAACAACATTTGATTGGGAAGCGAAAATCAAATCTGTCAATAGGATCCTGTGCTATGATGCGACTGTCACGGAAGTCATTCTGTCATGTCGAAGCCCCTGTCTGCAGTAAAATATTTTTATTATGCGGTTATAGTACGATGCTTCCGTTCAAGTTTCAACACTGAAGATCCGAACTTGAATCTGAAAGACCAACAATGGGATGGTGAACATCATGCTATTGCAGGTAGGTATTGGTATCATTATCTGTCCAGCTTCAGCCCTGCAGAGTTTTGAAATCAATTCTCTACAACCTGAAATTATTAGCTTACCTCTACCTATAGCAGCCAACCTCAATTGATTTTATTTATTATCCATTCGAGTTAGGCGTGTTGAAGTTGTACTTTCGCGAGCTTCCTGATCCCTTACTTGACGATACTCTGTACGATGAATGGGTAGCAGCCGCTAAAGTATCAGATCACGATGACAAGTATGTTTTCTATTTAAGGACGTATCGAACATTTACTCTGTGTGCACCTTTTCTGATCGATTCTATATAGAAATACTTCTCCATCATGTGTTTTTTTAAATTTTCAGGTGTTCGCAAATGATCCAGTTCTACGCGGCTATATACGCGTTTCCTCGCCAACCCGACTGTCATGCACATTTGTGTTACGACAATTCTACACGCTATCGTTACTCATCATCTGCTAGCGCACGCTCCCTGACAACAGATATTTGTCCATGTCTATGCAGGTTGTATGCTATAAAAGCACTTCTGAAACGCCTGCCCTCCCCGAACCACGATACACTGTTGTGCCTTCTGCGCTTCCTAGCCAAGGTTGTCACCTTCAGTGACAAGAACAAAATGAAAGCTAGGTATGTATGAGACCTACATGTATGCGATTCGTATCCCACGATCACACAAAACGTAATATCGAATCTATCAATCTGACTACAGCGTCCATGCAGAAAATTCACTCAGTCATAACCCGTCCATCATGGCCTTCTTGCCAAATCGGTTTGCCCTAGATAGTTCTCATATCTTCATTGAATCACATCTAGTTTTGAACTGAATAGGTTATTTTCTCCTTTGCAGCAATCTCGGTATTGTCTTCGGACCTACGTTACTACGGCAAAAGGAGGAATTGATGTCGATGGGCACTGCACTGGCAGACACTGGAGCTCTCGCAAGTGTAGTAGAATATCTCATCACCTATTACTCGTGGTTCTTCGACGATGGTAAGGGTAGGCGGGTACAACTTTCATTTTTCATCCCTCCGATACTCAGCTACGTGAGCATTTTTCGAAGTATTTTGATTTGCATAAGTTTAGTGCTCCTAGCCTGGAGAATGTGATTGTATGGGAATATTTACGAAAGAAGATCGGATGGTATCTTTTGCGGGAACTACTTCCAGTGGCCCGTATCTACTTCAGTCCTAAATTGTATGTGATTGAGTTTGTAAGATCGAGAAGGCATCAAAACAGTAGAAAGTACATTCTAGGGGATATTCGGTGCTCCTACGATGAGTTTTCCTCTTTCACTTTCAGTTTCTCGCTCGAAATTTCAAATATGCTAGCATAGATAAAATCTTCGACATAATATTGATATTGTCATTCCTTCACTCAATCGACCTCATGGCAGATTCGGATGTGCAGACCGTCATGTACTTTATGTTCGACCCCGAAAATCCCGGTGGCTCGTATCCAGCATCCAAAGCAACAAACTCAGCAAACAGCTTATCTTCGGTATGTAGCTGCGCCGAGAGCGTATGCGTGCCCTCAGCACCAGGTACACGAATGTGTCTCTGAGAAGACTTATATATGTACTCATTTCAGATGAAAATGCTTCTGTTATCGGTTGATTTTAGTACTCAAAGGTGCGATTTTGTACTTGTTTTCTTTACAAATGCATCATATTGGGAACAGAAATCAACGATGAAGGAGAGTACAAGGAAGAAAGACAAAAGCAAATCGCATCGCAAGTCGCTGTCACACTCAGTCACTTCTGTTCCTAGTGCTGCATTATCGTCAAATGAACACAGTCGCACTTCGTCTACTAAGGGTGCGCCACCCGCACCTCCGACCGGTGCATGTAAATCATGTACGTGCCATGAGTGTTTAATTGAAGTATTATGTATATGTACGAGCTGGCGGTTGTACACCCGTTTTCGTGCCTACGATTGTCACGACATGTTGTAGAAAACAAGTACAAATGTACGAATTGGCCCCTGATGGAAACCTTGGGTGATCTAAATAAGGACGATATCAATTCTACCATATATTTGTTGTAATTTCGTGGCTTAGTATTATTAGCTTTCGATGATCAGCTGGGCTTCGGGGTGTCTATCGCTAATTTTTTTTCTTCTCGTGCTCCTTATTTGCCTAGTTGGGCCACTTTCCACGGATACTGCGCCACCACTCCAAGCAAGTCTGTCGGCATCTCACGTTCGCTCTCACAGGTAAGCTCGCATAAATTTTAGCATGCTCCCAAAAAACCTACCTCATCTATGTCGCATACTCAGTATTAAATGTGTACCGTAGCACCTGATGAGGGGGGGAGCATACTCTGAATGAAGACTCGCACACACTAGTGTAAGTATTGCAATGCACTTTGACGCAAATACGATTTGGTGTTATGCGCTCATATTTTAGCAGATCCGAATTGGCGACTCCACATTTTCTGAAGTTTCTAAAACTGCACCTTTTCTGATTGATAGTCTGTACTGCAAATTAATAGATCACTATTGAACTTTTTTTCAAATAGTATGAAGGTCAAGAGCGATCCGATTGTTTCTCGCGGTCAGACAGCACAGACGCAAGCTGAAGTAGTCATGCCAACAGCTGCCCCACCTGCAACGAAAGCTAGGCCAAAATCAACTATAAGTGCATCATCGAGTGTCAATTTGGAAGTGATTGTCCCAAAGAAAAGTAGGTGGCTAGTTCTAGGTTTTCATTCGCGTTTACTCCAACCTCAAAATTAATTATTAACATAGGGTGCATAAATCCTGGTACAGGGATAATATCTCTTGCAGACCACACATGCCAATTCACAGGACACCAGTGTATCGGAGTATACATCTTTCCTATCGAACTGTACTTGGATCAGTGTATAATTGCGCTGACATCTATTCAGCTTCAAATTGAAACAGAGTGACAAATTATTCTTGCGTGCGAGCCATTTGTTTACACGTACATCTCGTACTATTCCCGACTATTTTCGTGTCTGAGAGTCATCTTATTGCAGAAATAAAATATTCTGACGTCTTGTCTTGGAACAGTTACACCAGTAAAGCCAGCAAAGCCAACGATTCCGACAAAACCTGGCAAACCACTTCATCATACCGGAACTTCACCTCTGGACGCTGGTATGATCGGTGTACATCTTATCTTGCTCGTAAAGAATCTGTATGAAACCACCGATACACTACCTGATGAACATAAGCCTCGATTGCAAAAATATGTGATTATTATGCTTTGGCAGTGAATTACCAGCTCATATTGTGGTGTACCTTGCAGCAACACCACGCCTAGACGTCTTATGGGATTGATGACTCTAAGTAGGGTAAAATATCTAGCTAATCCAATGGTAGTGGCGCTCAAACACTATGCATATTATCTGTGACATCGTATTAGTAAAATAGTCCGACTTAGTACTACACGAAAATATATCAAATTAGTAGTCGAACTGACTTCGTACCACACGAACATACCCAGTATGCATGCTCGACTATTTTTGTCCCTCGAAGCACACAAGGTATGTGTGAACCTGGACAGAGCACCTTTTTTTTTTGCTGCGACGGCGAATTACACCGTTTGATGTGCGCAAAACAAAATATGTCGATATAAGAATATTCGCATAGATCATTCAGAAACATCACATGAACACTAGAGTGGACGCTTGGGATTCTTCAGAGAAGTGACTCACTTATTTGAGTGCATGTTTATTCTCTACAGAAACACCTCAAGCAGCGATGGCGCGAGCTATGATGGGTACCAAGCATAAATCAATACCACTCTCTCAGGATGAGTCACATAGTGGCAGAGGTACTAAAAACCCGCCACGAGGTCCACCGCCACCACTGCCGGGGGCTAATTAACGTAGACTTAATAATAATGAAAGTATCACCTGACAATTTCCACACAGTATCGAGATTGATGTGCCCAAATTCCGGTCTTGATTTTGGTAGTTAACGTAGACTTAATAATGATGAAAGTATCACCTGGCAATTCTTCACACTGTATTGAGAAGATGTGCCTTTATTTTGGCATTGATTTGGGTGATTTTCTTGCCAGCGACGTACAGGCCAATCTCAGCTGTAGGCGATACGCCTTCTAGAAATGCCAAGGTTAAATCCTAGAGAAGCCACTACCAGTTCGTACTCGTGCTTCGACTCAGATTGTAGCCTCTTGCACCACCAGTCTGTAATGGCAAAGTCGAGAAGTGAGCGAATGTGTGTGTGTGCACAGTAGCACAAAATCCAGACAAGCAAATCGATAGTATCAGCGGATATTCATATATATATATATAGCGGAAACACAAAAATCATGGTAGTATTATTGTATAGGCACTCGAGACACGAGTTGTTAAGCAACAGACTTACCAGAGGCCTGGGTAGTTGGGGCTTCGTGAAACGTTTGTTCATCGCGCTCCGTTCTGCGAAGAAAAATGATTGAAAGTCAGAACAACTTGATTGATAAACATGCGACTCAAGACAAAAACGCAATAACTACATTATATAACGCAAAAGAAGTTCATGTGACTTCGTAAACAAAACTCAGAAAGCAAAGCGATCCGAAAGCAACTCGCATCTCGACAACGAACATACCTAGTTCTTTTTCAGCTTGAGAGTCGGTTGTTGGATTTGGTGCACGAGACCCACTACTTGTCATCGTCCTTGAATGGCTGTGCGGTGTATTGCGGAGTAGTACGCCAAGTTAAGACTGACTGCCTGATATTCGTACAAATATCAAGTTACACCTCCGAGTAAACGAGGCGATAAACCGCATAAGGCACACAGACAGATGCTACCGTCAAGCGTAGTTATACTATCGGCCAGGTAGTGAAAACGATAAGACTACTAACTGGAATGATCCTAACAAGCAATCCATATATTTGAGACATCAACTCGGTCTACATTTACTGCAAGCAATGATACGTATGTGTCGCGTTAGTGATATGATCATGCAGCGAATCCATATTTCTTTTGTGCTAACTCGAAAAGAAGTAATAACCTATTTCGGAATACCGAATAGGGCTTAAGACGAAACCAGAGGCTTTGATTTTGTTTAAAGACGATGTGCTTTTCGCAATTAGTTTCATATTTATGAGGGCATAACGCCGAAATATGTTGTTTCAAATGACACTTGAAATGAATTTCTTCGATTGACACACATACTAACCTTTGTCCATCTTTCAGATACGCGGCTCTGTTTGACTTCATGCTGTGTCGATTTTCATTGGGTAGTCCATTTAATGATACGTGCCTTGTTACACGCTCGTCGTGCCCGTGAGCATCGTGAATTGAAAAGCCCTTCTCATTTTTTCGGTCTATAAGCGGGCCCTGTTAGGAATATCAAAACATTATGAGTCACCGGAGTCGCTTCACACAGAAACAAAACAATACAAAAACACAACAAAACAAAAACGCATGTCCAGATTCACGTGGATTTGTATGGTTATTTTTTACATATCTGAAGACACAATGTGAACGACCATGAGTATGCGGTGGTATTAATACATATATCTATACAAGTCTTTCCCTATGTATGTTTATCTATACAAGTCTTTCCCTATGTATGTTTATCTATACAAGTCTTTCCCTATGTATGTTTATCTATACAAGTCTTTCCCTATATATGTTTATCTGTACAAGTCTTTTCCTATGTATGTTTATTTATACAAGTCTTTCAGTCTTCAAATATGAGTTACTATGGATACTGATGTGTATGCTGTACATTGATACGTATGAAGTCTTTAATGCGGAAATAAATGAAAATGCAGATGCAAATGTGGATGTAAACATATATGACTTCAAAAATATAAGTATATAAGGCTGCATACATTTTTCAATATCCGTATCAGCCATGCAATTATTTAGCAAATGTAGCAAACTGCTTAAATAGTTTGAGTTCATCTTCTGGTCCCACTGATGAAAATATACAAGCTGCGATGGACTTATGAACTGAACACTTTTCTTTGTATCCAGCAGCAGCCATACCTTGGTTTTGTGCTTTTCTGCTTGCGATCGTGCATAGGCCGCTTGCGCGTGGGAGCTCAACGCTGTCGGTTTAGTAAATATATGATTCGTAGGCCTGTTGGGTATGGAATGCACAATCAGCATTATTTGAAAACGAGCACATGGAAATACATTGGCACGGAAATAAACTTTCAAAATGAAATCTGGGCGATATTATTGGACGAAAAGGACAGCACGTCCCTAGAGACGCAAATGACTCAACAATCTTCCCTGAACGCCTTTTTCGTTGAAGAGTTAGAATTCGCAGAGCTATGACATTTTGAACTTCACGAGTATACCCGAGGTGTACTATGCGGTCAAAAGAACAATACAAATTATTTACAATTAACTAGGAATCTTCAGATACATACACGGTAATAAATCATTCGAGGTCTAATTGACATTGATAGACAACATTCAATATACTTTAAATAGTGACTCACCTTGCTACATTCAAAGCAGTGCGACCGTGTACGTGTTGATTAGTCCCACTTCTCGCGGCAACGGCATGTGTGCGTATCGTTTGTCGCACTGTATGCGTGTCTGCCTTCGTTAAACTAGTTGTCTGTACCTGTGCATGTGCTCGTGGGAGCACGTGTGCGTGTGACTGTTGTTGCTGCCGTGCCAGCAGGCTCTGTTGTTGCCGCTGTCGGGTCTTAAGGGCGAGTTCTTGGCCCATTATACTCACCTGAGTATGAAATGCGAAGAAGATGAGAAGGCGTATAGCGGAGAAGACTTCATTCGTACCCATTGAAACGAAGCTATCGATACACAAAATTAAGGAGGTCAACGCTCCAGATTTGTACGAAGCAAAGCAAACAAAGAAAATGTTACAGCATAATTTTTATACAAGCACTTACCTCTAAAGCTCTCACTTCCCGTTGTCGCTTCTGTAATGCCTTTGTCTTGTCTGATAGCTCGCGGGTGAAGTCAGCAAGTTGACCGGGACTCAGCATGGAGTCACCACCCACACCTTTCACCACATCTGCGGCTATGTCTGCAGCAGTTGGTCGTCTGTTAAATCCATCAGATAAGAAATCCATCAGACAGGTACAAACAGGAATACGTTGCCCAAGTGCAAGCAACATCTACTAGCTTTCTGATCTCAGTGCAGAAACCTTTCCGTGGTTGAATTTAATTAATATGAAGTTACCATACCATTAACCACATCTGTGGCTATGTTTGCAGTAGTAGAATGTGGTTGGAAGACGCATCCAGCTGGAAATCCCCAAATATGCACACAGATCGCATATCATACCGCAATCATACACCTGTGGCATACATGTTTGTACTTTTTACATGACCATGTCAATGTGAGGTAAACCTGCATCTACATGCATGCATCTGCGGTAGCTTAAATATATGGCTACCCTTCTTCGGAGACATACTATCACAGTACGGATCCAGACTTACTTGGTAGGGTCTGGGTCACACATCTTTCGAATTAACATGGCAAATTTTGCGCTGCATTGCGGCATTTCTTTCAAATTGCCTTCCCTTAAATCGGTCCAATCCTTTCCATTCTTCGGGAGGTCCTCATCGATTGCCTAGGAGGTGCAAAAGTTTACACGCGCATGTTATGGCAGATCCTGGCTGGCAGCTAGCACACTTGTGACAAAATAGTTCTAGTCAACTGAGTCAGAAACAATCTATTCCAAACAGAAATAGTACTTACAATGCCATAAATTAGAAGTCCGAGTCCGAATATATCGGCTTTTCGTAAGTTTCGGGTGTCTTCGGCTAATATTTCGGGTGCCAAGTACCGACAGTCCCCTTCGTTCAGTACATCGGGCGTTTTAGAAGACACCGCATGGCCAAAATCACCGAGTTTGTACAGGAACTATATCAAGGTTAAAATTGATGAGGGAATTAGTAGTGATCGGACAGAAGCTACATCACGGTTAAGATTGATGAGGGAATTAGTAGTGATCGGACAGAAGCTATATCAACTAGCAGTCCTAGCCTACAGGTTATGTACTTTACCATCACAGCCTAAAAAACTCAGGAAATAGAATGCACTGAAACGACGTGCACAAGTTCATAGAAAGTAGGAAGAGCAGCACACCTTCGGCAACTCCTGATCCACGGGCTTCGAATTGGGGTGGCAGATTGCGCACACATATTTGTTGCCATTAGGCATCTTCGGCACACCCACACCCTCATGCGCAGACTTCACATTAGAATTCGCCGACCACTCATCAGCACCGTTGGCCCTGTGTAAACTTTGGTGACTCTCGTTGGCGTCGACGTTCTGGTTTTCGTCTGAAAGAAAGAAATATGTCTCAATTAGGAACACGCACCGTTGAAGAATTGCATTATATCCGCGAATACAAAATACCTATCATCACACCTCCATATAATAGTGTTGATATTTTAACGCTTATTTTTTTAAAAGAAATAATACAAAATCTTATCCACGGAATTATACAGAGTGAGCGCAAGATTGGAACACTGCTAGTACATACTATCCGATATGTAGTCTCCCCCCCCCCCCCCTCACGATACACATCACTTATAAACCGGGAAACAGCATATACTAAGTCCTCACTTCGCACTTACGTGTGAAACTCGGCGTGTCTGGTATTCGGCCAGCATGCCGCAGTTTTGAGGAGTGCAAATGTGACGTTCCATCAGCCAAGGCTTCATCCTGTTGGTTTGAGATAATACATAGAATTTAGTATGGTATGCCACAATGATCAATATAAACTAAAAGAAAGACGAAGTGTGTAAATAATAGATACCAGCTACGGGTCGAGAATCGACTCCAATATCAACCAAAGAGTATGCCCCAACTCACATTGAATATAGTGGGAGTCTTTTCGGATTTTAAATCGCTTGAAAGCCGGTGCTTTGCGCAAAGACGTACCAAGTGTATGTTTTAGCAGCGCTTGCGGAAGATAGAATGATAGAACAAGTTATGACAATCCTCACATCGCGCCATCGAGAGTTACACGTCACAAGAAAGAAGAAAAAGGCAGACCACGTTTTCAACGAGCAGTTCTCGACTTACCCCTCGTCTGTGGTCGACGTATTCTTCGGTGTTGCATAGTGCTTTGACAAAGACATTCTTCGGTTTCAGGTCCATATGAACGATGCCATGATTATGAATAAATTTCAAACCCTGTGCGTAATGTATATATATAGGCAGTGTCAGTAGGAAGATTTAAGACCTAAAAGGGAAGCATGTGAACAAGCGATTACTCGATCATACGATCACGTGTGAAGGGAGGCAATTTGTGTCCTTATGCATTACCACCTGCCATAGTGCACCTTCTAGAATGCGAAGATATAGGAGAGAAAACAAGGAAGAAAACACAATCTAGTCAGTCCAAAGTACTAATTTTATCAACGAATTCCCCCTCCCGGATGTATACTCATAACTTTCGTTCGGACATACCTCTGCTAGCTGCCACAGTATCTCGGTCAGCATGTGTTGGCATGGTGGATCTGATCGGCGATCTGTTGGATTATACCGATAACGAGTATGTAAGCGAGTAACAGGGATTGCCAAGCCTATTGGAAATAAACGCTACAACATGGAGAATCTGAACAGATCCACATTCCGTAGCCAGCAAACAAGCTACACTTGCCCGAGGACTAAATGTATATATTCACGACTCCCACATTCGAGAAGGAAAATACCACCTGGACCTGTTTGTATCCCGTCACATGGCGTATAGGGGTACGATACCGTCCGCTTCTATTAGTCTCACTAAGCACATACTGGCAAAACCAGATATAAACACCACCTTTCACTTACCTACAAAATCGCACAAGTTGCCCATGTTACAGTACTCATTCTGGATGTGCATCAAACAATCCTCCACCCACGACGTATGATATCGCACCACGTGGGGCGAGTCTCCAAAGGCCGAGATTGCGGCGTGTGCATACACTTCTCTGTGAATCGGCTGCCTGCTCGGAGTACATGAATAAAAGTAGACGTACTTCTTTGCACAATATAACGACAGAGCACCCAGGGTAGAACAAAGTGCACACATCGGAATGTTTAACTGTATGTACATACCTGCCCAGTTTCTGATATATACTTTCTTAAAAAGCTGTATTCTAGCTTTTAAAATGAGGATGCAAATCACGCCCAGTATCAACCTTTCGTAGTCAATATTTCGAACAGGCATACAGCCATCAAAACGATATCTGTGCTTGGGTTTAATCTGCACGCAAATTGTCGCATCAGTCAGTACTGGCGTCATAGCCAAGAGCGATTAGAGTTGATACGTATTACACTTACGTTTTGAATCGCTTTATCGCGTAGTAGGCTTTGTCCAATTTTCGATAGCACAAGAACACATTCCCGAATGATCCTGATCCAAGCGCAGAGATCTCCGTAAATTCTTCTCGATACCTGCTCGTGGTTTTGACAGGTTTGTTCGATAGCCCTGAAGATTTCATGGCAATTTGAATGGGCATAAGAACGTATGTAAAAGTAATTATACACGTCTTTAGAAACAGCTGGGCAAATCAACTGCATTCTCGGAATACGCATGGTCGATAGCCCTGAAGATTTCATGGCAATTTGAATGGGCATAAGAACGAATGTATAAGTAATTATACATATTATTATACACGTCTTTAGAAACAGCTGGGTAAATCAACTGCATTCTCGGAATACGCATGGTCGAAAAAACAAAAATAGTCATTCGCCAACAACTGCGTACAAAGTCACATATTTCATTGTGCCCACATGACCACGGAAGAAAGTTAATCTAGGGGAGCAACTAAATTATACGCATTGCGACTTGAAGGTGAGCCTGTGCTAAAAACTTATATATACATATACATATATTTAACTGCCGCGCTTCTATGTGTACACATTTAGGTGCATACCTTTTCGAGTATAAGACTGATCATCTTCGAGTGCCATTTCCGGATGACGAATTCTAGCCCTGGCAGGCGATCCTACCACGTGCAGGGTGGTAAGGTTTAACATGTTTAATAAATCGAAATGAGCTGTAAAAAAGGTCTTAATGCTCAAACACATTATAAATATATGAAAGCCCATTATGTTTTAGGTAAACATATGTAATCCATTATGTTTAAATCCTAAACACATTACAAATATATGCAATCCATTATGTTTAAATTCTAAACACATTATAAACATATGAAAGCCCATTATCTTTATCAAACACCTATTACTTTATGATAAAAATCCATAACACATTGGAAACATATGAAAGCCCGTTATGTTTAAATCTCAAACACATTATAAATACATGTAATCCATTGTCCTTAAATCCATAACACATAGACTTCAGGAATAGACTCAGTAAGACCTCAGGAATAGACTCAGTAAGTCCTCAGGAACAGACTCAGTATGACCTCAGGAATAGACTCAGTATGACCTCAGGAATAGACTCACTAAGACCTCAGGATTAGACTCTATAAGACCTCAGGAATAGACTCACTTGGCATTTCCGCGGTAGACAGGTTGTACTCGCGTCTTTCGGGTGTACATCCAGGCGATGAGGGCATTCGAGACAGCCCTTTGTCCTTCCTGGTTGTAGATGACATATGTCGCTGCGTCACATTCGTTGTAATTCTGTTGGATGGTTATCATTATGCGGTTAGTGCAGTACTGACAGTTGGGAACACATTGACTATACACACACACGCACGCACACATATAGCTAAAGAGCAAAATTTCACTCTCACATACGTCGCATCGCCATTTCGACCATGTATGTTCTCAACCCGAGTCCAATGCATAGTACTATAGCAAAATAAACAATCATACCATGCCAGTCTTGTATCTGCCGTTCACTTACAACAACGTACCTGGGCCGGTGCACATTCCCGTTGTGTGGGTTGCGGGACGTGGTCAGTGTCACATTACTACCACAAGCAGTTCCTTTCACATTCAGATTGCATTCAAGCGTTGCTAGGCATCCATTGAGATTCCCATTCGCATCTGAATTGCCTTTTGCGTACTCCGAATTCGGATTGATTGTACTGCTCGCCTTCGACCTCACTCCGGTGGGAGGTCTAGCGTGACTTGGCGTCTTATTTGTCATTGTTCGTGTGTGCGGTGTGCGGTTTTCATTGGGCGTATTACTATGTGCGTGTGGTGTTCTGTTCGCGTGTGGGGTGTTTGTGTGTGGAGTATTGTGATTCCGTGACGAGGTAGTATTTGCCTGTGATTGACCGTGTTTGTGCACAGCAGATTCAGTAGCCTGAGCCCCATTCGGCTGTCGCGATGACGCTGCTAAACTCGTGGGATGCCGTCTGTGACCAAGTTGCAGATACATGTAAGGTAAGTACAGTCTGTGAAGTACGACTTGATACTTCATGAAGGTTCACTATTCGATATAATATATCGCTAGGTATATGAGAACAGGTGCAAGTATACATGCGACACTACGTCAAGTGTGATAATGAGACCTATATGCAGCCATGCAAGTGAATGTCTTTCGACACTCCCATTTCTGTAACGAATTATTTGAGTTGGTCGTGCCAACACGGGCGATGATAATAGTACAAACCGAAAAAGAAAAAGAAAAGCTCATTCCAATATGCCTTAATGACGTACTGCACAACTGTATAAACCCATCGATCCATTCATGAACCACATATACACACGGGCCTTACACAGCATACTGAACGACATGTGGGGGCCATCACTTACTCTAGTGGTCTGGCGAAATAGTGATCCTCATTGAAACGCACATCTGGACTAAAACATGTCTCAAACGACAGCCGTGCGCGTTTGACAGGCGAGGTTTTGTTGGGCGTGGCCATGTCCCATGCATCGTTCAGTGTCATTTCCAGCCCCGCTGGCGTTTCAGGCGAGAACCCAGTTGACTGTGAACCGAGTGGTGAGGAAATAAATAATATCCGCTGTGCGGCCATATCTCGCCTCTCTCAGCGAGAATGTAGCAATTTTGTCTATTCTTGGATCTGATGTTTCGCTCGAGTGCCCATAATTATAGTATTGATGCATTACACGGGCATACTTTTAGACAGACAGCATGCGAAAATGGAAACATAACAGACGAGCAAGAAGCGAACACCATTGTATAGTGCTTCAAATGTCTGTCGCGGCTGCGACTACATGAGCGTAAATACTACTCTGAGCATTTATAACTTTGCATCATTTTGGAGGCTTAAAATACACAGACCTGGTAATTATCTGTATCTTTCGAAACTCTTCATCCAATCGAGAATCGTGTATAAAGAAATAGAAATCGACACACAAACCATGGGCAGCAATAAGAAAAGAAATCTGCATCTGCTCACACCTTTAGAGAGCTGGTGATTTGCATTCTAAAACATACACTATTAGAGGTAAAACAGTAGTGAGGTTTAACAACCACTGACACGATACTGATGTGATCCCTTTGGTATAATATCAGACTGTTCGGAATCCGCACAAAAGTTCCCCACAGTGACTTTCGGCGTCACAAAAATCTACAAAATATACAGATACAAGCAGACAACAATAAGTTGCTGACACTGAGATCAAAACACTACAAACAAATCAATATTAATTCAAACCAGTAGAATTCATCGAATACCTCAAAGCAAATGAGCCGAATTTCTTACATACACATGTGAAATTATAGGCACAGATATTTAATCGCAGATTATGCAAACGCAATCGGATATAAATCATTGTATCATATAGACAATATATATATATATATATATATATATATATGAATATATGAATATAAGAAATGTATGAATACATATATAAATATTAATAGTCATATGAATACATACCCCCCCCCTCCCCCACTATATATATATATATATATATATATACACACACACACAAATATAAATATATATATATCTATGCACAAACGTATAAATGTAAATAAAAATACAAATACGATTATATATAAGCAGAAAAATATGTATACATACACACACACATATATATATATACAAACACACACACACACGCACACGCACACACACACGCATATATATATATATATATATATGCATATGCATATGTAAAACGTTTTTAGAATTGTCAGATACACAAGTTCAATCAAAAGAAGATGAGCAGAAACAAAATTCAGATAAACCTTTACAAACTATGTATCATAATTTGCATATCAGTTTATCATACTCGTATGGCAGCAACAAGAACTAAGTAAAAATTTGCTCAGATGCGTATGTCACCATCACTGGTATATTAGAGATGAATACTAACAACAACTAACAAACCATTCAATATGTCTCAAAAAACAACTTGTGACTTACGGTGCCTGCCCGGTGGGTCTGCCTGAGCGAAGATTTAATAGACGGTGTGGACGTGTTGAATTGAAACCCCGGACTATCTGTTGACCGCCTTCGATTGTTCGAATCAATTTTCCTCGGTTTGACAAAAGCATTGAACGCTACGGGGGTATCTAATTTAACCATCCTGCCTGAGTCAATTCACTTCTTATTTTTTTCTTCCAAGTATTCGCTTGCTACTTGTTGCAAGATACTTTATAAGCGTATAATCGAAGAAGAGGTGCCAGAACTTATCAACCCTCTACCCAAGGGGGTGAATGGCCACAAATCCGTATATCCCGCGGCAAATACGTGGAATACTACGTGAATGCTCCTTAATATATGGGAAATAACTAGCACAAAATTGCACAGATTAATATTAAGTTGACGCTGTACAATCAGGTACATGCTTTGTCACTCTCTGCCTGACATTTGCGCTCGAACGCTTCGTACCATATAATCGTCGTCAATAACTACTATCGTATCCTGAAGTGCGTTCATATAGCGTATGCACTTATTTCATGCTATTCTGTCCTAAAGTGTGTTCATATAGCGTATGCACTTTATGCAGCATAGCTGATTCGAAGTATATTTACATGCAACTAAAAAATCATAAAAAAAAGAATAATTTTCTCCATGATGGATGATGCAATCGTGAATTTATTATGGAACCATTTGCCGCCCAATTTACGGTTGTACTTTTGTTCCATAAAGTATACTTTGCCGGCCGGCCGGCCGGCCGGCCCCTGGCTCACTGGCTGGCTATAGATTAAAATATTTATATTTATGCAAATTAAAATAGAAATGGCGGCTTTCATAGCTTTTATAATTCCTTTATTGGTTATTTAAAAAAAAGGGCAACTATACATTAACATAGAGCCTTCTAAAATACTAAAAATCGAGACAATAATATGTACTAAATATTAAATATTTACATGTTTCGAAGAAGGCTATGACAAACATATCACCAGTCCCTTTTTTAACTCTCGGATAGTATCCGACCGTCATTTTCAGTTCAAATCATTTATCCCAAACTCAGTACAATTAACATGACGGCATTTTAAAAGTACACATAAAGAACACCATATTTATGCACATTTACACACGTTTACATTTTACCCTATATAACGACATTCGTACAAATCCAAACGGTAACCATATAAACCGTTAATATATATCACCATATGTACAAATACACACATTTACCTTATAACACCAAGCGTACATTTACACTCCGTTATCATAAGGTGCAAATACACACGGTTTCTATACGAAAAAAGGTACATTTACACACAGCTATCATACATCGCTGTATGCTCACACACGTTTACCATATAGCATCATTCGTTCAAATACACACGGCTACCTTAGAACACCATAGGTGCAAATACGCGCGGTTAAATTATATTACCATATGTATAAGTATACACGTTTACCACATGCCACCATTCGTACAAATACACACGGTTAGCATACATCTCCATGGGTGCAAATACACACGGTTAACATATATCACCATATATACAAGTATACACGTTTACCATGTTTCACCATTTGTACACATACACACGGTAAGCATACAACACCATAGGTGAAAATACGCCCAAATAACATATATCACCATATGTATAAGTATACATGGTTCCCAAATGTAAAAATGCATACGGTTACCTTATATCACCATATGTACATTTTACACACTGTTATCGGACACCATTGCAATTTATTATTGTCATAACCGCCTATGTTTAATTCAAAAGGCTGTTATTTTAAAAGGCTGTTTAATATAGGTGGCCATTTTATTATACACAAAAGGTACACAATTGAGTTGAAAGGTTGAGTCTTTATAGTTAGTAGATGGCCATCGAATCTTCGTGGTTGATAGGACAATCGAGTCTTTATTGATGATATCCTGCACTTTCCTTCGGCCTCGCCACAACATACGTAATTTCAGAATATTTTTGGTGTCCAGACTTTGTATACGTGATCAGTTATCCCAGGAGGGGGGGGGGGGGTTATTGGGAAGTTGTAGATTACTTCGGAGATGAGAAGTTCCTTCATTCCTGTCGTTCTCAGATGAGACCATGAGTCTCGGATATCACAATTACATTGCTGCCGTTTAATCTTGCACTCTTCTCAGTGACAGGGGGTTGAATGGTAATACATTTACAGCCTAACCTGCAATACGAGACCAACACGGCAGATTTCACATATAGCTAGACCGACGAACTTAACTAAACAAATAAACTGCAACAAGGCCGGTTCAGCGGTGAGAATAATGGTCAAGCCGTCTGAAAAAGTCTGGTGTAATTTGTTTCGGGTCATCTCCTGACGATAAATGTCGATATACAGATAAATATCGACACAGCCATAATGTCGCAGTAGTTACTATGCATGTATCTCGCCAAGGACACCAAATATTTTCTTTCCAGGCTTTTCATGTTCTAACGAAGCGCAGCCGACACTACTGTTATTGATATATTTTTATGATATAGCATTTTCAAATGAATACAAAACCTAAATTTGTGCAACGGGCCATAAACAACAGGCAAACTAAATTCCATTGAAGTTGTTGTCGTTCAGTTGTTTTAATGCTTTGTAATGAGCATCGATATTTAAGTATATCCACGTGTGAGATGATTAGCTTCACCCACACCGTGTACAAGCACAATGCAACGCGGACTTTTTGAGCGCGCGAAGCACCCCAGGAGAAGAGCGTGGCAGGTGTATATGTACAGCCAAGCTACGGCCGAAGCTCACCTCGTCCTGAGTAAAAATCGCTCACAAAATACCTACTTATTGATATGATAGAGACGCAGCGCAACATATCGTATTTTATGAGGTGTGTTTTGGTAGATGGTTGCACTCAAGTCTTAAAAAGTGATTTACGCCTGTGCTTCCGAGTCTACCGCAGGACTTCCTGAGGGGGTACTCGATGGGAAATCCGAGTTGTCGTTGTTTTTCATCAATGACTTCTTGAAGGCATTGCGAACGGAGGGGATGTTACCAATGGCATAGTACAGTGAAGCGAAGAAAGAAATCCACGTACCTGGAATTGAAGAAGAATATTAACAGAGATTAGCCACAAAAAAATTCAGTGCACTTGTAGAGAGAACGTCACTACACGTGATCTGCGACAAATAGCACAAGATCAACAAGCCAATAAATCACAGGAATAATACAGCAGGCAATGCACCTGCAAGTACAAAGCCGTACAAAGCCGACTTGGTAATACTATAGACATGATCTGAATGAAACGGAATCCAGCATATATTATTTATATATACAAATGGAAAGATACATATATACATAACACGAGTACACAATGTACCTGCAAGTACCGAGCCGACTTGGCTCCATACATGATCTGAAAGAGAAGAATACAGCAAGGGAACGAGAAACTTATACAGGACACAATATACTTAAGAACTCAAATTACACTACACAAAGGGTCCGTGTGCGACGATAGAAAAAAGGCAACGCGGGCGAAATCATCTTCGTCAACGCAACCATAAACAGAAGAACCGAAGTTGAAAAAAGACTGCTTTTGAAGCTCTCGTCGGCTACCACACTATTGGATCCATAAGCGAAGAATCACTGCAAACTAATTCACATGCCCGTCCCGCACTTTTAATTAATTCCGATATGTTGGTTCTTCCGCAACACTAGCAGGCGTACAAAATTTGATACTACGGAGAACTTGCAGCGCGCTTATACTTGCACACCAAGAGAAGCACAACGAGGCAATCACGACCCAACGATACTTCACACAATCACAAACAGCGCAGCTGCTTGCTATGTCAACGGTCTGAAGATGCATAAATACATAGGTACATTGATACATTGCGTAAATTCGTAATACAACTTACTATAGTAACCGTTCGCGTTCAAACTGTTGACGATCCTGTTATCAGCGGTGATGTAAGAGGTGTAGAACGGTCCGTTAAAGGAAGTGTTGTAACCCGCTCCAAACGCCCACCAGATTACCAAGAAGCCGCCAATCGGCAAACTCGCTTTCTCAGCCATACCAGGGCTTGCAAAATTCAATGCGATCGCAATGAGGGCGATGAAGAAAGATACAACTCCTACGGCTACAGCCCAGGCGTTACTGTCTGAACAATCTCCGGAATCAGAGCATACTTCGGACGCCACCGCAAACTCTACAATAGAGGCCACAGCCAAAGTCCACAGAGCGATACCATAGGTATGCGAGATATTTGCCATAGAGGCAAGTGCCAAGTATATATAATTCGCTACTGCGAAGAACGCGAGCCAAGATGAATAGTATCCATTGCCCGCCTGTTCGAAGGGGCCGCCTACACGTGTGTTAAAGCCTACACCAAACGCCCACCAGGCAACCAGGAACCCACCCAGGGGTACGGCCAATTTAGCACCATCTTCTGCCATTCTGCAGAAGACAAAATATAAAATACAGGAGGTCAGATGATAGCAAATTACAACTTCAATTCTATTATACCAGGCGAATACCTTCTCATTTCTGATTCTATTTTAAAAAACCGTAAGAGTAATTACCTGCGTCAAAAGTGTGAGTAACAGCTGATAACATCCAGAAAAATATGCTTCCAAATCAAAGTGTCCATCTACAACTATGACATTATGCATGGTAAAATCCTTAAATACAGTCGTGTATTTAATTACCACAAAAGTAACACATACAATCAGGCAGAATATGCACTGCAATCTCAACAGATGGAAGAAGAATTTACATAAAATTAGAAAAGCCACATGAGGATCTCGATACGTTTTCCTGAGTATCACAAATACACTTGACTACGAATATCTTGCCAAATCCATCTTCATGGCACAAGTAACTCAAAACAGTTCGATCCGACCTGGTCTACTAACTAGCGAGAACGGGAACAATCCATCGACTTTTATCAAAATGCTTATAATCGATGAATTTTTAACCGCAAAATGCAAGCACAATTCTACCCAAATGAAAACTCGAAAACGCAGGCGAACTTATACCCATATAAGCGCCAAACTTCTCTCTTAAAAGCTTGGGCAAACGTAAAAAGCACACCAATCTAAAAAAGCCCGTGTGATAACCTTTCTGAAGCCAAACTACAGCGTGCACCACAACCACACTTATCGACCACACAAGAGTGAAAAACAGCAACGCACAAGGGAGGAACACAATCACACACAAACGAACAAAGGAGGCGAGCATACCTCATATGTAGCCCCAAGCCTACAAGAATTACGATCGTGGAGACAACTCCGACCGCAACAGCCCATCCATAGTCGCCTGAACAGGAGTCCATTCGATTACACAGGTCAGCGGCTGTACCAAACTCAATGACCGAGGCCACGAGGCCTAAAAGCAATGCGGGAACAGCTTCCATTATATTGTGTAGAAAATAATACTCAACAGTTACAATGTATACGTTAAGTGCTCAAATATGATATTCCACTAAGGCCCAGTGGAAATTAAATACATATATTGACAACTCGCAACACTACATATTTCGATTTTTAAAATCGAGTAGCTCACATGACCTAAATACCCCTGCGGCCTGTGGCCTGTAGGCTGTGGGGAGGGTTTTTTCTTTTGTTATGTAGCGAATTTTATTTTGTTTCGATTTCCATTTGCGTGTGTGGCTGACTGGCTGTGGCCTGTGGGCGCCGTGGCCCTTGTGTGGGCTGTGTGGCTGTAGAAAGTTTACGGAATTTCGTTTATTGCGTACATACGATATTAAATATTTAATTCGACCTATCGCCTCTCTGCGTTTCGAATTTCGAGTTTGGGAGTCTGGGTGTCTGAGGCGTTTCAGCGTACTTTGGGACTTTGAGTTTGGGCCCTGGAGTCCTGGACTCTGGAGAGCTATGGCCCTGGAGGGGCCAGTGGCCACTGGGTAGGATATTTTTGTTTCAAATTTTACAAGTTTGATGCAATTTCTAAAAATCGTCTGACAGCCTTTTGGATACTGTGACAGGTGCATTTTTTTTGAATTGGGAATACTTCAGGACAGAAATCAATCTCCACAAAGATAAATCAAATCATAAAGGCTAGAGTCAAAACCTAGCTGGCCCAAAACAAGAGATTTTCGAGGAAATTTGGAGCGAAACCGAAAACTTGTGCAGCCGGCATATGACTCATTAATTTTTTTACTACACGAGTTCTCATTTGGCGCCTTTTTAACATCCAAAATCTATTGGCTGAGAATCAGTATTTTAGATTAACCGGCTCCTTTTATGGAATTTTAAATTTTTTACAGATTCTTGTTTCCGTTTTCATTTGCTACAAGGTTTTAAAAAAATAGTACGAGATTTGTATCATAGATGGACATTAGGAGTTCAGGACATGACCCATATCTATTCAAAAGTGCCCCACAGGCCACAGGCCCAGGTAACACACCCCAGTCCCCGAATCCCCACCGTGACTGGCCTCAGTGGCCCAGTAGTGTGACAGCTGTGGCCTGTCTTGTGAGACTGTGGTACTGTCAGTCGACAACGGATATAAATTCGGCTTCTTTTCAACTTCAGCAGCCTTTGAGTATACTGCCAAGTGCCAACCGTGAACTTGTTGGTCTTAAAAAAAACCAAACAAAAAAAAACAAAAAAAAACGAACCACAAGCAGTTGATAAAGCGAACCAATCATTTCTTGATAATTGAAGAATTTCACAAAATTAATGATATTTGATCACACACACAAGAGCGGTCTGAACTCTGAAGAGGTTACTCGCAAGAAAAACACGTTTCGAATGTTTTTCTACTGAGTTTACAGACAGCAGTTTACAGTTCACGGTTTATATGCGCGCCTAACGGGTCATCATAATCTTGTTCCATTCCAAGAGAGCAACAAGATGATGGATCCATATTTTAGTTTAGTCTGCCGGTCTCAAAAATTAATCCAAGAGTACGAAACTATCATCAGAATATACGTTGATATTATCTCCACCTCGATCCTTAGCACCATCTTGACTGGGATTCGGAATTAATGCAATCGGCCGATTGCTCTCTTGCTGTGGTGTGTAGGGAATTTCCTGCTGACTGGTCTCGGTTATGTGTGGGTTCATCACAGCACGCGGAGTCTTCATCTATCCTATCCCGCCTCCGAACGTTCGCCGGTTCTTTATTGGCTTTAGACGAGCTAAAACTTGCAACAAATTGTGACGATTCTGCCGCAGGGTTGTCTACCGGTGAAGACCAGGTTGATCCCTTCAACATCGCCCATCGGTCGCCCACTCCCATATCCTCGACAGCTACACCGTCCGGGGTTTGACGGGGAAGTGTCCGACCATGTGGATTCGGCGATACGCTACGTTCGGATCCCGCCTCCTCTTGAGATGCGGATAGCGTGTGCTCCTCTTTACTTGGAATGTGCGACTCGTTGTTGGTGTCTTTTGAATTGGAGCCATCCCAGCTGGTGTTGGGTCCTGTGTCGTTCGCACCATCTTTTGAATTGCTCGAGACTTGCTTTCGTTTACTTTTCTTCCCACCCAGCAAGCGTTTAAGTTTTCCTTCCTTCTTTTCCTTCTCTTTTGTGGGCGTCTGTACACCAGCGATTTCCCTTGAGCCCGGTCTCGAATTGGTATTACTTTTGTATCCTTTCTTGATCTTGTCGGGCTGTATTGTGGAAGTGGCTGTTCCCGATTGTGGTAAAGGTATGTGGTGTTGCGTATGAGCATTGTAATCGGTACCATGATGTGTACTTTCACCCTTGCCTCTTAATAATATTTGGTTCGGGCTGGGTATTGACTGATGAATCGTCGCCGCCATCATCGAATCCACCTGCGGACTGACAGCTGATTCGCTGAGCGAGTTCCCGTTTGCAATCTTCACTGTGTCACATTCTGTTCCCTTCCCTTGGTCTGCACGCGGATAGTTTCCAGGACTTCCAGTTGAAGAACCCAGCGAGTTTTTCCGGTGTATATCCAAGCTCAATGCTGCAGTCGCAGCAGGGCTTGCAAGAAGATTGCCGGATGTAGGGTTTTCTAATCGTGTGCGGGGGCCACCTGACTGACTGACTTGAAGTGTGGATGTTTCCACATAATCGCTAGTAATAACTGCTGACCCTTCCCCCTTGGGTTCTTCATCCCGACTTTGTGGTACATCTGAACTAGTGGTTGTGTGTTCAGTACTCCTGTTACAGCTGGATGAGACGGAAGCGTTTTCTACTTTACGGGGGGTTGGATCATCGCCTTGAGCTATGGCATTTTTTGGCGATGTCACTTCAGACTTCGATTTGCTTATATAGTGATTATGGTCGATGTTTTTGGTATTAATATTGTCATCGACCACTGCTGTCCTATGTTGAGCATCTCGTATTTCACTGGCAGCTTTACCGTGATTTTGAAATGGTGTATGCCTAGCTGTCCCTCCTCCAGACGTGCGGAGAAATTCAGGCTCAGACATGCCGCCTCTGTGATGCGATCTCCTTTGTTTGTCTGGATAGAAGGATGTTTCGCTATCCGTCTCTTCCAACGTACTTTGCGTGTAGTATACATCCACACTCATTGATCGTATGGACCTCATGGCATCCATCCGTAGGAGATCCCCTGCGATTGAAAGCGAGTTCCGCATATCATCACACATCACACTCGTGCTTTTGCTTTCTCTTAAGCTCGCCGCTAACTTGCGTTTCTCTCGATATAGCCCAAAATGTAGCTGTTCGGGACTTCTGTGACTCTCAAAATTGTTGGGTGATCGCTCGCTAATTGTTTCGTCCGTTGTTGAATTGGTGGTGTTTGTCGCGTCGGAGTGTTCGGTGTTTTCATATCTCGGCATAGTATCGGGAGAGCGTCCACTACTATCATTCCTCCAGCCATCAGTTTTGGGACTCTCAGTCACCCAAGGTGCTTCTCCTGCATTAGAGTGTTGCAAGTGGGTTGATGAATATATATATATATACATACATACATACGTACCTACATACATACATACATACATATACAATACATACACACACACACACTCACTCACACACACACGCACAACACACACACA